TTTGGCAAAAATACTTAAATTTATTCCTTTAATTGTATATTGTATGAAAGTTACTGACATAGAAAATAAAATTGGTAAATAATTTGAATTTTGGCTGACTATGCTTACATCCACTTGAGACTAATGTCTTTGTGAAAGGCATGAATCTATTTTCCCTTATATCTATAGGTAAAATGCAGATATATAAGTCTGTCGTTTAAAATAGGTCACTAATACAGAAAAAAATTGAAGCTTGACAGTTGTCATAACTGGTTCCAAGCCCAATTGAGAAAAAGAGGGTTGGGTGACAAGCTAGCACCTCAATCCCTTAAAGCCTACAATTGTTTCAATTTATTCACTGTTTCACTAAACAATGAATAAATTCCATATTGTTAAAAAAATGTAAATAAACATTGCTGAATATGCCTTGTTACATGGGATAGCCTGTGTATGTATATCGCACACACTTGTGTGTGTGTGTATATATATATATATATATATATATATATATATATATATATATATATGGTCTATTTTGAATTGCTTTTGTGATGTATTTCTAGTCTGAAATAAAATGGTTTGTAGCATGTATATGTAAAAGTCAGTTCATCAACAACAAGTAGAAAAAAGCAATAGTTTCACTTATAATTAAAAATATAGAAATAAAATCCTTGCATTTCTAATCGTTAATATCCTTTTTTTTTCTCCAATACAATACTCAAGGGCCACTCAAGGTCTACTCAGTGAAATTATTGTAAGTGAGGGTGAAGGAGGAAGTCAGAAATGCATATAGATATCAGTTGACTCTAAACTTGAAAAGACTAAAATTATAGTTATCAGGGACATGTGAAACTAAGAACAAATTTGATTTTTAAATAAACTATATTTCTCTTATTTTCAATAAAGTATTTTTTTTATATAAAATCTGTTCAAAATTTACACTAACACTAAATAAAATCCCAACTTGTATCACCTGAAGAAGGTCAAAGTGTATAATGGTCAAAACGTTGTGAATATGGCAATAAAGATGAGGACAACAGTCTGAAGAATGTGAATAGTTACATTACCTCATCTCAAAAATATAGGCAGATATTAAATAAAAGATTTCAAGTTGTGATTTCTTGAAATCTCTCATAGCTAATTTTAACATTTCATCTCACTAGAAAAAGCAGTTCTAAAGCAATGGAAATTCTCCTTGACTTATTATTCTATTAATACCTAGTAGATACATGCTTCTTCAGAAAATGATATTATGATGTTATGTTTTATTGCTGTAATAAGGAAACTGAAGCCTATGATAGCATATGGACATTTTTTTAGAAAGAATAAGTGACTTTAAGAAGAATATTTAAGAATATTTTATTGTGCATATTAGTTTTAATGAACTTTGGACAGAGTTTGGGACAATTGAATTTTTTTATTTGTATTTATTTAGTTTTTCAACATTTTGTCAGTCTTTTCTGTGAGCTTCTTCAAGTGTACTCTCTATATATAAAGAAATGGTCTTTTTTTATTGTAGTGTAAAGCAAAATATAGTAGCAAACAAAACTTACAATACTTTAAATAAATTTCAGAAAGTCTATCAAGCTCTAGATAAGAATGATGAGCCTTTGGACATCTTGAAAGCTTTCAACATGCAGGTCTTCTTCACAAATTGAAAAGTTATGGTGTCTCTGGACAAATTTTCTAACTGATCCAGTCTTTCTTGTCAAATTGTGAAATGAAAGTTATCCTCAATGGCCACTCTTCAAGATCTTTATTACACTAATGCGGGTGATCCTTGGTCCCCACTTTATTTTTAATTTTCATTAATGATCTTCCTGATGGCATTTGCTCTCAACTTGGTATCTATGCTGATGGCATGATTATTTACTCCTATCTTGATGCTAAGTCTGGTCTGATAAAGTCAAATTGGCAGCTGATGTAAAAAATGATCTTTGATCTATTGTTAAGTGGGGCAATGGATGGCTTTTAATGCCTCCAAGACTGAACTGCTCTCTATTGATCATCTGAGAGAGCCCTTTCTGCTTTCCACCAGCATAGCTGATACTAACTTCCACGAGAGTGACTTGTTACACCTTCTTGGGCTAACGTTCTCAGCTGACACAAAGTGGAAAGACTATATCCAATCCATTGCTATGTCACCTGCTAAAAAAGTTGTCTCACTGCTTTGTGCTAGACATTTTTTCTCTCTTGAATCTATTTTACATATCTATAAGTCTACCATTCTTCCATGCTTAGAATATTGCTGCCACCTATGATCTAGTGCTCCCACCATAAATATAGAGATTCTTGATAAAATTCAATGAATTAGCAATATTGTTGGTCCTGATCTGGCATTTTGGCATCAGTCTCTTTCCCACTGCCATAAAGTTGCCTCCCTGTACCTTTTCTTCAAATACTTTAATGACCATTGTTGGATAACCTCTTCTCCAGGGTACCTAAATTTAAGTGCAGTACTAGTCTGGCAATGAGGTCTCATACAGTTGAATTGGCTAGATGTAACCATAAGTTCTATATTAACAGTTTTTTCTCATACTTCTCACTTGTAGAGCTCTTCCAGCTTTATGCTTTCCATCCAATTTTAATCTTCAAAAATTTAAATGCAATGTCAATCGCTTTCTACTGTCCTTCTGATTACTCTTCTTTTGTTCTTGTTCTTTAGTAAAGTTTCTGTTTTCAAATTCTTCCACATCCAGTAACACCTTGTGTTCTAGTGGCTTTACTGTCTTACTTGGGGTGAAATCATTTATATGTATAAAAAAAAATTCTGTTTTTAGCAATATTTGAAGCACAAGTTGTTTTATAATTGAAAATAGAACAATTTTTTGAAAATGCACTTTAATTTTCAACCAAATCCATGAAAAGACAACATAAATTTCTGCCTTCACTTTAAAGGGTTAATAAAAACTTTAATTCTTGAATCAGTATTTCTGCTTTGTGAATTTATGAGAGTTCCTTATACAATTGTGAAGTATATCCGGAAAGTAACCAGCCATTTTGGGTTGTCTCAAGAACTTGTTTATGTAACTTAGCAATCATTCAAAGAGGACTTTGCTGCACCTGCATGAACACACTCCTGTGTGGTTACTCAGTTGATAGGTACCATTGAGAGAGCTTATGTACTGTGTAACTGTCACATTAATAATGCTTGAGCAAGTAGATTAGTAAATATATGTATTCAGTTTTGCTTGAATATATATATTCAGTTTTGCATTGATATGCAAAAAATCTATTTGAATGACTAAGGCTTTTGCTGATGATTCAGTGTGCAAAGTCCAGATGAAATTTTGGCTAGGAATCTGTTGAAAGTGATCTGTGATCTGAAAGGCCATCAACTAGCAAAGTAGCTAAAAATATTAAACACACATGGGCAGCAATCAACGAAGGAAATCAATAATTGACAGTGTGAGAATTAGATCTGGCGATTCCATGGATTATTTTATAGAGGATCTTTGCATGAAATGTGTGATGGCAAATTTTTTTCTGCAGCTCCTGTTATGAGAATGGAAGGAATTTCATGCTCAAGTTGTACAGGATTTGTTTGAAATCATTTTTTCAATATCATGCAGCTGTTGTCCACCATGAATAGGCCAGACAATAAATGAAAAGGTTAAAGGACGCAATAAAAAAGACATAGCTATGACTTTGGGTCAGTAGTGATTAGTAGCTTCATTCTAGCAGTATGCCTACCTATTATTCATGTCTTGTGCACTATCTACTACTACTATCCAGGTTTCATACCCTGTAACTTCTGACTTTACTAAAGTTAAAAACACTATTGAAAAGAAAATTAAAGAGAATGTGGTTAGGTAGGTTTTGAAAAGTAGAACGGATGCTGAGAAAATTATGTGTGATCCCAATAGGTGCATTTTGAAGGGGCTATTTTCTCATCAACATTAAATGTGTGGATAACATACCTGTGGAGACATAGAGACCTACTTTGTTTAATCAATAGTAATCTTAGTCAGGATTTATTTTCTTGTAACCCACTGGCTTGTAATGAGAGAGAGAGGGAGAGAGATGGCTAAGTATATGAACTATCTTTTTGACTTGAGCATTTAAAGGATTACATTTAATTAATACTGACTGATCATTTTGTAAAAGACTATTTGAATCTGTATACTTTTTTCTAAAACAAATTTTTAATAAAATTATCTTTTAATATTTAAAAGGGTTACTCTTGATTATTTCCAGAAAATTAGAAAAAATGTTTATTCAGCTTTACGGTCAAGCCTTTATTTTTCCTTTGTTCTCCTTGTAGCATTTTCTGCTGTCAAAATTATCACGTTTTGTCTTCCTAAAGACTATCATTGTTAGTGTAATATTCTTATTTTTTATGTATTAACAAGACCTTTCTTTTTTAAAATCAGCATTAATTTACTGGTTCCATACAAAAGTGGTGTAATTCAAGTTGATAGTTTTAAATTATAAATCATAATGTTTGAAAAAATCATTTTTGTAAAATTTTAGGCAATAAACTTTAAATAGTCTGTTTCAACTTATTTACTTTGGATCTCATCCATTGACATTACAATTTTTATTGTGAGAACTTGCATAATATAATCTGACATTGTGTATGTATTTATCTTTTTTCTATGTATTGTAACATTAGCTATTGTGTTCTAATTTCTAAGCTTTTTACTTTTTTATTACTTGTATTAGATTTTAACATTTTCTGTTAATATTAAAAATATTTTTGTTTATTTAATTTTGAAATTTATGGATAATATTTAAAAATAATCTTTATAAGTTATTATTTTAGATATATCATGCATAAGACTAATTTTGTTACATTTTGATATTTTTAAGTTATCTATATATTTGATTTCAAATCAATTGTCTTTCCATTTCAAGAAATTGATTTTCAAGATTATTGACTATATTGAAAGAAACTATTTATATTTTTATTTCAGGTGAAAATTAAGTATATATTTTGTCTACTACTGTAGAATGAATTGTTATTTTGTATTTTATATTTTTCTCTTTCAGTTGGAAAAACCTCACTCATAACTAGGTTCATGTATGATAGCTTTGATAACACATATCAGGTAAGTAAAGCTAGATTTTTAAACATGTTTTTGCTTTTCATAAACAAGTGTAGTAAAGAAAGCAATACATTCAGCTCTTCTCCTTCCACTGGCGTTTATCCACAACATAACTTATAGGATCAATAATGTATCAATTTGATGTCCTGCTTTTTTAAGCCCTGCACAAATGTCTAATTTTCTGGTTTCCAAATGGGGCACATGCACTTAAGGTCATTAAATGTATTGGAAGCAAATAAGCTTAATTAAAACTTGGAAGGAGGAAACAGTGATGATCTGTTCATTTGAAACAATTTAACAAACCAGTAGTATTAGGCAAGTTTGTTTTTTTTTTTTTGTTTTTTTTTTTTTTTTGTTTTGTTTTTTTTTTAAGTCAAAACATTTGTTCTATTTTCTCTCTGAACTACATTTACAGATTTTTTTTTTTACAATAGTAATAATAAAACAAAAACTATTTAATGCCATTAACAAATATGTCATTTGCAGAAAATACAATACAGGATACACCCCCCCCCTAAAAAAAAAAAACTTGACATAATTTAAAATGTGACTGGGTAACTAAATGTCCCTGGCAAACAAAATTAAATAGGTTTCATGTTAAACAATAAAAGATTTATTTATCAAAATTCAGACAAGATATTCGAAGGGATGTAGATTTTATAACCAATTTCACAAAGTTTCACAAATGTTCAATATGCACACTACCTTTGAGATGACACATGTCAAGTCAGTAGTCCAGCTCCTGCCAAACACGCTGTAGCATCTCTTGTGTAACATTTTCTAGCACCTCAGTGATTCACTGCTTAAGTCCCTCTTGGCTTCTAGGAAGAGTGGGGCATATAGACCGGTTCTTTTACATACATCCATAGAAAAAAGTCACAAGGTGTCAAGTCAGGTGAATGTTGTGGCTATTTCAACAGCACATTGTCATTATCACTGGCATGCCCAATACATCTTCCTGATAGATTCTCATTCAAATATGTCTGCACAGTCAACTAAGTTTTTACACATGCTGTTAAAATGAGATCATTTGAGCAAGAATTTGGCTATGAATAACATAGCCAAATTCTTGCTCAAATGATCTCATTTTAACTACAAAATGATGTCTCTTTTTGGGGGACACTCTGTATTTACAATTTATTACCTGGGTAACATCCAGTAGAGTATTATTTTTTATAATTCACTAGTATTTATTTTTAAAACAGGAAATGATAAATGTTCATTCTCAAATTTATTTTTTCTGGATGAAAGAAGCTTTTTGTTAGGATCATATACCTTCTGCATGTGACTTTTGTAAGTTCTGTACTATTTGTGCCAACTAATTTAGGTGCTGGAGAGAACTCTTGCTCATATATTGTCCATTATTTTTGTAAATGTTACTGACAAACTGTTAACTTGCCAGATTGTGAAAATATCCCCTCTTTGCTATTATAAAAATAAATGAATAGTAAATATTTCCATTTACATAAGATTTTTTTAAAAATAAATCTCCCTGAAATTGTGCATAGATATTTAACATTAAAATAAATGCAATCAAATGTCCCTCAGTGTCTTTTTCCCCTATTTGGTGAACAGACCAATTAATATTGAACTATGCACATATTTGTTAAATATGACAATAACTGATCTGTTTGAGCTATTTGATAGAAATTTGTTTTACTCATATTAAGTCTATTTCATGATAGAGATAAATGTAATTATCAGGATATCAATGTATTGTGAAAGAAAGTTATCTTTACTCTAAATATTGATTTTTTATCTTTACAAGTGTTGACAAGCTAAATATTAGGGATACTGAGAAAACCTGGGGTTGTGAGTCTGTAGATTTTTCACCTTTAAAGCATTATTTCGTTCTGTATCTCCTTATTCTTACATATAGATATCATTTGAATTAGAAATATAGATGTTTAATACACACTGATTTTGATTGAATTTACTTTTCTCTTCTTTATCCTCAGTTAATTTTTGGTTTAATAACTAGTAAAGCAAACACATACTGTTGATGATCATGACTTTCTACAACTTCCTATTCATTGTAGATCTCGGTAAAATTTTTCTTTTTTTCCATCCTACTCTCTATTTTGCCATCCATTATACACCGGGTTGATAGATAGGGTTACTCACTGTTCCCCTCCATCAGTCTTGCCTCCCAAATGCCCTGTCAGTATCAGATTTCCCAAGCACTGTTTCTTCATTATACATTCCTAGAAATTTCAACTGTGTTTAAATGATTCTCAATATAATCAGCCTTTTTGTTTTCATTTTCCTTAAAACTTCCTTGTGGCTAAGATGTTCCATTCATATTATTTTCAGCATCCTTCTGTAGAATCGGATTTCTTTTGCCACAAGTCGCCTCGTCATCCAGAATTCGCTGCCATATAGGAGGATGTATAATACTAGTAGTTAATGGTTAACTGAGTTCAGTGTTAATAAAGATTATTCATGGTCTATGAGATAAAATTGTTCAACAATTTTAATTGTACTTAATTAAATAGTTGAATTGTATTTATCTCTAAATTAAAATTTGTTGAGTGTATTAACCATATTAAAGATATATAGTAAGCTGATACTTTTCAATTTAATATTGCATATTTCAAAGGTTTCTAATTTTGAAACATGGTTTAAATTTCAACTTTAATTTAAGAGATATATTTGAGAAGGTATGCTATTGGTAATGTCTCATAGTGATTATTAATACAGGGTATGGCGGAAATACTTCCCAGAAGATGATAAAACATTAGTGGCAATGATGTCTTCATCTAACTAATATCTTATCATTATGTGGGCACATCCTGTACTTTCATTGCAGTACAAAACAGAAAAGTAAAACAGTGGTTTTGAAAATTTTGAACAATAGACAGCTGTGATAAATTTTCTCTTTTGTAAAATTGCACTGTTCTGTCAATCCGTTTTTTTTTTAATATCATTTTAGAAAAGAGGAATATTTTCTTGTTACTTGTACTAAGATACAAATTCTAAAACTTATCTCTGTGGAAGTCACTATTTGAAAAAATTGATTTTTTTTATATTGAGAGGTTATTAAATGTAATATGTTATTTTTTTTCTCTTAGTTTTTAACATGTAATAGTAATAATAAGCATTCTATTTTTAATTTATTTTTGTAAAATATATTGTTGATTATATGGCCTGGCATTATGACAGGCCAAAAATAGCAGTTGCTATGGTAATATTGTGAAGAATCTGTTACCAGAATGGGAATCCATGATGTGTTAGCATTTCCATTAATCAATACAGAACATTCTACATTGGCAATCTTTGTATGTACATATGCCTCAGATATTAAGATTTAAAACATCATCTAACCTGAATAAATATTTGCAATTTGAGATGATTCACAAACATGTTAAAGATTTGTTTGTGATAATTTTTTTGTAAACAATTCTGTTGGAATATTTTATGATCATTTAATTTCTAGAAAATTGAAGTTTAATAATATATTACTAAGACAGTCATTCGATCTGATAAAAGAATATTTTTTAATTTAGTGCTTCAAATTATATATTCTCTAAAAAAATTTAATTTTTTCTGACTGTAAATAACTAATATTTGAATAATACTTTTATTTTTTTTCTAAGGTCTATCAAGGCACTAGATGTAAGTTAGTATTATCCATAATATGCAGGGAGGTACCATAAAATTATAAACTATACTGAGCAGAATCTTGTTAAGTGTAAGAAACTAATTGTAAAAAAAAAACTTGTTTTTGTCATTATGAATTGACTTAATTATTTGATGCTAATTTTAAATAATTAGTAAAATAATGTAACATTAAAAAAACAAAGTAAGAAGAGTTTGTAACTGACTGAAGTAATTTTAAAATCTATAATAACTTTTTGGTATTTGAACTTCATATGAGGAGAAAACTGAATAAATCTAGATAAAATGGGTATCATTATTATTAAAGATAGTGAGTAAATCCTGGTAAAAAGCTGACACCAAGTTCTCTGGTAGAATTTGTCTCTGTTGTTTTATAATGGATCATTCCAACATGATTATTTTGCCCCAGGAGTTTAAATAGAGCTAATTTATAATTTACTAGTAGTAGAGCCCGGCATTGCCCAGGGATATAACAGTAAGAGATAGATCAAGTATCCACCATCATAAAGACTGAAAAATAAAATTGACAAAGATTATTGTTTAAGGTTGACGGACACACATGTCTTAAATTAATTTTTTTTTTTTTTTACGAATTGGTCAAACCCAAACCCAAACTCAAACAAAAACATTGTTTTCAATCGTTATGAGTCTCTACCGATTGAATAGAATTTTATTAAAAACAATTGTCTTGTAAATGGAATTTTTAAAGCATTCTGAATGTAAAAATAAAGAAAAAAGTGTGCAAGAGAATAAGAAACACTACCTGCCAAAAAAAAAAGAAAAAAAAAAAGTGAAGTTTTGTTTTATCGGCAGAAAAATATAGGAAATCCACTCCCATATTTAAAGGAACCCACACACACAAACAACCCGATGTGAGTTGTCCCCCTTCCATTTTCACGATGTCTCTTAATCATGTTTCAAATTGATTTTGTGCAAAAACAATTATATTTTTCCCATTTTTGGCACTGTTAGAACCACCACAAGGTAATTTTATGTAGTCCTGTGAAGTTTTGTTGAAATCGGTTGAAAAATGTAGGAAATCCGATCCAATATATAAAAGTTACAGACACACACACACACACACACACACACACAATCTGCGTTTTATAATAAGTAAGATGAAAGGCATGCACTTAAAATTTCAATTCAAATAGTCTGTAAAAAATCAATGGTTGCTCTGCTTTGTATACAAGCACATGAAACTTTTATCTATTTAGAAGGAAATAGGAAGATAATATATGATTGATGTTGCACAGGTTTTTCTCTTTATAATTCAAATAGTTTGATAAAAGCTTATATTATTGTCAGATTTGATGAAGTAATAATTGTAAGGCTTTACAATATAATTAAATTTTAGAGAAACTCTTATACTTAGCAAGTCAATG